GGCTCAGCCTTGGGAAGAGCAAGCCCATAGCATAGATAGAGCCAGACAAAGGGGTATTCCTCAACCGATAGGTCCACCTATGGTTTCTTATTTTTGCCACTGTTTTTCCCCTGTCAGTTTTCCCCTTTACAGTCTTCTTTGATTCAATTCTTAGCACTCTGGCAGGTTAATATCAAATAGATAAACTGAGGGGCATATGACATTTATAAAAAATGCTACACATAACTCTCTCATTTTCCAAGGTCAGTAATAAGAGCTCTGAAGATTGTGGAAAAGCAATGCACAATTTTTGGTCATCTATGGTTCTTTTTGAAATAGTTATAATGAAGCTCTAACTGGTTGTTTTTCCTAAAAAATATCCTAGAAAATTCAAGCACTTCCCAATCTACAATAAACATATTGAAATAATTCTCTAACTCAAAACACAGATAATATAGAAATCCTGGTGCATCTGAACTGTAGTGATACTGCCATGATGTTATAATGATAATGTAAAAGAGAAACAAGGCTCTTTGGTTGACTCATCCATTAGCAGGTGGTAGGGTACATAAAGCTGTTGGTCTGCTGACTCACCAGGCCAAAGTGACTCCACTTTGGATGGAAGGGAAGCAGGGAGCAGTCCTTTAGAGAGGTCATTGAAAGAAACCCAGGTTCAGAGGGAAGGCAAATCTTACGTTATATTAATGTTTTTGAGTTAGGTATAAAGTCAAACCCAAAGAAGGTAAATTTGGAACCTAACTCAGGGTCTATGCACTCTCTTGAGAATGAAGTAAGGGATTAATTTAATCAGCCTTTACCACTGACTTCAATATAGCCACTGAGTGGGAGTAAAAAGGGGCACAAGGAATTATATGATTTTTCCTTCTGTTTAAGCAAAGCACGTTGGCTGGTGCGCCTTTATCAGCAACAGACACAGAATCAGAAAGTTTCTAAGACAATTGGATTTGGCATGAGAGTTGGGAACTGCATTAGATACTAAGATAATGGTATCTGTAGAAATACCTTGGACAGATGGATTTGGGCATTTTGGAGAGCCAGTCAGAAATAGTTGGCTTTGGGCAAGTAGAAGGAAGCAAGTTTAGAAAAAATGTATTGATAGGAGCAAGATCCCCCAGGGAGAGAGATTGGGAAACAGTCAGAGAAGAAACATTATGAGGCAGCTCAGTAAAGTGAGCAAGAGCACAACAAGATATAATGACATTAAGCTGAAAGAAAAAGGGATGGAACAAGAGAAGAAACAACCAGGGAGAAAACAAGAGCAAAGGGAGAAAAAAAAAGATGGAGAAAATAACAAAAGAAATAGTATTTTTCAATTCACCTCATACAAGTACTGTACTGCAATCTCTCTATCGTGAAAGTGCAACTTATAAATGTAGATTTTTTGTTTGTTACATAACTACACTCAAAAACAAAACAGTGTAAAACTTTAGAGCCTACAAGTCACTCAGTCCTACTTCTTGTTCAGCCAATCGCTAAGACAAACAAGTTTGTTTACATTTATGGGAGATAATGCTGCCCACTTCTTATTTACAATGTCACCTGAAAGTGAGAACAGGCGTTCGCGTGGCACTTTTGTAGCAGGCATTGCAAGATATTTACGTGCTAGATATACTAAACATTCGTACGCCCCTTCATGCTTCGGCCATCATTCCAGAAGACATGCTTCCATGCTGATGATACTCGTTAAAAAAATGTGTTAATTAAATTTGTGACTTCTTGGGGGAAAACTGTATGTCTCCAGCTCTGTTTTACCTGCATTCTGCCATATATTTCATGTTAGAGCAGTCTCGGATGATGACTCAGCACGTTCATTTTAAGAACACTTTCACTGCAGATTTGACAAAATGCAAAGAAGGTACCAATGTGAGATTTCTAAAGATAGCTACAGCACTCAACCCAAGGTTTAAGAATCTGAAGTGCCTTCCAAAATCTGAAAGGGACGAGGTGTGGAGCATGCTTTCAGAAGTCTTAAAAGAGCAACACTCCAATGCAGAAACTACAGAACCCAAACCACCAAAAAAGAAAATCAACCTTCTGCAGGTGGCATCTGACTCAGATGATGAAAATGAACATGTGCCGGTCACTTATGCCAGGGCCGGCTTTAGGAAGTGCGGGGCCCAATTCGAACATTTTTGGCGGGGCCCCGGCAGGGATGGCTGAGGGCAGGGGGTGCGGGGCTGGCTGCAGACACGGGCTGGCTGCAGGCAGGGCAGGGGGTGCGGGGCTGGCTGGAGACAGGGGCTGGTGCGGGCAAGGCAGGGGGTGCGGGGCTGGAGGCAGGGCAGGGGGTGCAGCAGGGGCTGGCTGTGGGCAGAGGGTGCTGGGCTGGCTGGAGACAGGGGCTGGCTGCGGGCAGGGGGTGCGGGGCTGGTGCAGGCAGGGGGTGCAGCAGAGGCAGCTGGAGCCCAGGCCCTTTAAATAGCCCCCGAGCCCCCCGCTATCCCAGGGCTCTGCCTCTGGGGGCTATTTAAAGGGCCCAGGGCTCCCCTGCTTCTAACGCCCCGGCCCTTTAAATAGCCAAGGGAGCCCTGGGGAAGCAGCAGGGCTCCGGCGGCTATTTAAAGGACCGGGGCAGCAGAAGCAGCTGAAGCCCCAGCCCTTTAAATAGCCCCCGGAGCCCCCCACTATCCCAGGGCTCTGGGGGCTATTTAAAGGGCCCAGGGCTCCGCTGCTTCTAACGCCCCGGCCCTTTAAATAGCCAAGGGAGCCCTGGGGAAGTGGAGGGGCTCCAGCGGCTATTTAAAGGGCCGGAGCGGTAGAAGCAACAGGAGCCCCAGACTTTTTAAATAGCCCCCAGAGCTCCGCAGCCCTACCCTAGGGCTCCAGCAGTGGGGCTCTGGTGGCAATTTAAAGGGCCGGGGGCTCCAGCCCCTGCTGGGAGCCGCAGGTCTTTTAAATTGCCCCCGGGAAAGCCGAGCCACCCTGGTACGGCGCACCGGCTCTTGCCGGTACGCCGTACCAGGGCTTGGGCGTGGAGCCCTCTTAGGTCCGGGGCCAGATTCAGAGGAATCGGTTGAATCGGCCTAAAGCCGGCTCTGACTACTGCTTTGGACCATCATCAAGCAGAACCCACCATCAACATGGCCCGTGTACTCCAGAGAATGGTGGTTGAAGCATGAAGGGACATATTAATCTTTAGCGCATCTGGCATGTAAATATCTTGCAATGCTGGCTACAACAGTGCCATGCAAACACCTGTTCTCACTTTCTGGTGACAGTGCAAACAAGAAGTGGGCAGCACTATTGCCTGAAATGTAAACAAACTTGTTTGTCTGAGCAATTGGCTGAACAAGAAGTAGGACTGAGTGAACTTGTAGGCTCTAAAGTTTACATTGTTTTATTTTTGAATGCATTTTTGTGTACATAATTCTACATCTGTAAGTTCAGGTATCACTACAGTACTTGTACTATCTCTTATTTTTTACAGCACAAATATTTGTAATAAAAATATAAAGGGAGCACTGTATATTTTATATTGTTGTAATTAAAATCAATATATTTGAAAATATTAACATCCAAATATTAAAATAAATGGTATTATATTATTAACAGTGCAATTAATCACACCATTAATAGAAATTTTTAATTGCACAATTAATTTGTATTCACTTCCCTAGTTTAAATTGCCCTTTTTTTTTTTTTTTTAATTAAAGGAACCAGTTTTCTCTTTGTACAACAGAAATGCTTTGCTACTCTCCACTAGAACCATCACAGTTCTTAGGCTATAATAACGAAGTGGTGTGTGGGGGAGGAAGGCCCTACCCCAACCGCTACTCGAAGGCTGCTCATCTATTGTCATAGGTCCTACACCGCTAACCAATTCTTTTTAAAGTCTGGTAGGGGCCTGCACTCCCAGAGCAGAGGGACATGAGCTCTGTCCAGCTGCTGCTATGTGAAGGGCCAGCGGCTGTGACCCAGTGACTGCCGTGAAGCTCTCGATGGCTGTGGCTGGATGCCCTACAGCTGTAGAAACCCCAGGCCCCTACTCCTGCGAGGCTGCCGCCGCTGGGGCGGTGTAGGGCAGCTGGCTTAGACAGCACAGCAGCAGCTCACGAGCCGTAGACCGTGCTGCACCCCGCGGACGCTGCAGGGGCAGTGAGGGAGAAGGCCTGTGACCGCTCTGAGGAGACGCGGGCTCGCACCCCTGAGGCGTCCCATGGGTTCGCTAGTGACTCACACCGCCCCCGAGAGCCGTGAGTAGGGGCAGTGCCACCCACCGGCTCAGCCTCGCGCTCAACCAGCCAGACGCCACTTGCCGCGGTTACTGCTGACTCTGCCGCTCCGACGCCGCAGCAGGTGCGCCCACAGACGTGACATCGGCTAAAGCGGCAGTTGGACGCCAGCGTCTTTCTGAACCCTCCTCCCAACCAATGGCAAACAAACAAACGTTCTCCGCGGGGACAATTGCCCAATCCAAACGAGGCGTTTAATCTCATGGTACACGCCCACACCCTCCGAGCCAATGAAACGAGCAACACAGAGAATAGACTCCTCCGCCGCAAAGCAGCAGAAGGGGCGGTGCTCTGGCGGTTTAACTGACGTGGGCCATCAGGCCAATGAAAAACCACCATTGATGGGGCGTAGGGCCAACTGGGAGAACGCCGGTGAGCTCGAGAGATCAGGAACAGGTGGGCGGGGATTTCTCTGGGAGGGGCGTGGCTGAATATCTTCAATCAGGTAGGGGAGGTACTGATGGACAACCTCATCAGCCAATAGAGATGAGTATCTGGCAGAGGGGGCGGGGCCCGCGCTCCGAGCAGAAGCTGCGGGAGCGGAGAGTCAGGTGGCTGAGGATGCGCGGCAGCAGGAGGTGGGGGATGCGGCGGCTCAAGGGTGCCCGACACTTGCCCGTTCCTAGACTGGGCTAAAGAAGTCCCCGCTGACTCCTGTCCGTACCTGCTGCGCTGCCTGGAGGCGCCCCGGGTCCGGCTGTATGAGCAGTGGACGCGGCGGCGGCGCCCGGCTTCTGCGGGCGCCTCCCCCTATGGAGCAGCCGCTCCATGGAGCCCTTCACAGCGCGCAGCACCAGTCCGCAGCCGGAGGCAGGGGCCGACGGCGGCAGCAGCAGCAGCCCGGGAGAGGAGCCCGCTCCGGCCGGGCCGCTCTGGACCGCAGTGTTCGAGTACGAGGCGTGCGGCGACGACGAGTTGAGCCTGCGGCCGGGGGACGTGGTGCAGGTGCTGTCGCGGGACTCGCTCGTGTCCGGGGATGAGGGCTGGTGGACCGGGCGGATTGACCAGCGCGTCGGCATCTTCCCCAGCAACTACGTGAGCAGCAGCGCGCACAGCCGCCGCCAGGGGGGCGCCCAGGAGCTGCGGCCCCACTACGCGCCGCCCCCGGCCATACACCGTAAGGGAGCAGCGGGCCATTGGCTGGGGGTGGGGTGGGGATTGTTGAGGGGTGGGCCCGGTCCTACTGGGGCGGAAAGGGGGGGCGGCCTAGCCTGTCACTATTTCTTGTCTTTTAATTTTAGCCTGTAAGTGACAGCAGGGAGTTGCCTTCTCTGTGCTGAGGAGCCTGCGAGGGGGTGGGTTGGGAGGTAGCTCCTCAGCCCCGGGTGGGGCTTCTTGGTCAGGCAGTGCCAGCCTCCTGCAGCTCAAGTGTATGATTTATATATAATGACCTTGTCCTTAAAGTGTCTACACTGACTCCTCACCCACCCCATGGATTTTGGTATTGGTGGTGGAATTATCTAGGCCAAGTGGGGCACAGTGTCAATCTGGTACAGGTATCGGGGGTAGCAGTGTTAGTCTGTATCTACAAAAACAACAAGGAGTCTGGTGGCACCTTAAAGACTAACAGATTTATTTGGGCATAAGCTTTTGTGGGTAAAAACAAGAAGTGAGGTTTTTACCCACGAAAGCTTATGCTCAAATAAATCTGTTAGTCTTTAAGGTGCCACCAGACTCCTTGTTGTTTTTGAAATCTGGTACAGGGTTGGAGGTCACAGACACAGCTTTTTCGACCTATTTATCCTGTCACTCGCAGCAGGGAGCTTGCAAGCTAGAAGTTAAGGTTCTAAGATCCTTACTTAGCAATAACTTGTGAAAGGATGAGATGCGGACGAAGTATTGTATACAATCCATCATGTCCCATCTGAGATGTGCAGAGATCACGGTAAAAAAATTCAGTTTCTTTACTAGTACGTTACATATCCTATTCCACCAAATGTCACTGTTCTCCTTATCCTAACACGTTTCTTCCTTTTCCACATCTTTCTCTAATTTCCAGAGAACTACACCGCCTATATTTTAGATGTAGGTCATCACATTGTTATTTCATTAACCTTAATCTATCACCTTTTGCTAAACTAACCTGTTTTCAAGAGTTTGGTATGTTCATGCATGACAATAAAAATTTCAGGGTTAAAGCTCCCAGGATTGTTTATGTAGTTTGGTGTTTCTCCCAATACACTTAGGGAAGGGTTGTTTGGAAAAAGACCAGTTAATTCTTAATTAGACATGTCTGTGTACTGCTGCTACTTATTCCATATATTCCTTTGTTAAAACTGACTTTTTAAAAAAAGTGTACTTTCCTAACCTAAGATGTTGTATGTTAAAAGGCTCAGGCTGCTTTCCAGCCCTTTGTCCTCAAGATCAAACTCTGCCCTCAGATATGTGCACGAGTCTTATTGACATAAGATACTTAGGCCCAATCCTGTAATGATCTCTTATGCCCACTCAGAGCCTTGTTGACTTCTGAGGGTCTCTGAAGGCGTGCACAGATCTCTCTCTATGGAGTTCATTGCAGGATTAGGGCCATTAGTTGCTCTGTAGGCTGAAGCCATTTCACAGTCTCTCAGTTTATTAACTGCGAGCTATAGTTGTGGAAAGCAAAACATTCTAGAATGTCTGCATCTAGAACATGTTTCTGGCTTCTCTATTAATATCTTTTTCAATTAATGCTGGGAATTCAAAGCCAAAATTAAGATGTTCTTTTTTGAATAAGCTTATTTTGTTTAAAGCAGTGGTAGAGTATACAAAAATGCTCATATAGGACAGTAAACTCCTTCGAGGAAGATCCGTGAAATGTTAATGTTTTTCTATCTGGCTCCCTGTATGCTCAAAAGTATGTAACTAGGATTAAATAGTAAATCATGCTGCCCATGGGAGAATCCTGGTGTAGGAGCACCAAGAAACAGACACTGTTCCGATCATTAAAGCTGAGTGTTGGATCAATGATTCTGCCCTCCTCTGCTCAGCAGTTGTATGGTTCAATCTTTCCATGCAGGGAACAGCCCAAATATTACCAGTAAGTGGTATGCTAGATATCTCTGAGGGAGTGTGGAAAGGAATCCCTCCATCACAGAGCCATATCTGCTTCCCTGAGACTGCTCAAGATCCTGTGGCCCTAACTTTTTATTGGGAGTGCAGGGGAAATGTACATATCAATGGATTCTCCAACCCTGTTCCATTCCCTGTGCGTTGGTGCTCAGAGGGCTGCTGTAGAGTACACCCCTTCCAGCAGCCCCAAATCCTGCTGCTCCACTTGTACAGCAGAATTGCAGTGCCTCTGCTGTATAGGGCCTCTTTGCACTTCCTGCTGATAGGATTGCCTCTGTGCGTTAGGGGTTTTGTGTGCCCTAGTGGCTTGTTATGAAGAAGTTATGGAGTTTGATCAAGCTGTATACCCATCTGTTGTGTGTGTGGTTGCTGTTGAATTGGGTTTTTACCTTAATGCTTGTGAAAGGTGCTGGACTGAAAGTCCTGGCAACTTCATTCATGCAGATAGCTGGAATAGTGTGGACAATAGCAGGACATTCTCTTCCACCACTCAGCTAATGTGCCTCAGTCCTAATTTAGACAGATTACCTCAAGAGGTGAACAGATAGTTCAGGTTCTATGCTCTGTTAATCCATGGCCTCTTCGTTGAGGCTGCCAGCAGGGGTGCTGAAGGACTGTGAATGCCAATATGTATTGTGGACTCCTGTCCACTAGCAATTGAACTAATCATGGATGAAATGGTAATTATGCTCACGTTCAACTTAATTTGGGTGTGAATCAATGATCTATGGGCTCTGCAACCAGTCCTTTGAGGAATCCGTATAGCTTTCATCTACTTCAGTTTATTTGATTTCTCTGTTAATTATTAGTAATGTTACTGTCTTGGGATTTAAGTATTGTTAAAATATAATCTTTCCCTTAATTTTTACAGTTCAGGAGAACACTACTTTTTACACATTACGTTTGAAATTAGAAAGTGGGTTAGTACTTCCAGCAAGGTGAAGAAAAATGAGGATTTGTAACACAAGTAGTTTTTTGTGCACTTCTACGCCCTTGCACTACATTAGACCAACTCATACATCTCACCCAGTGGATTTTTGTAACTATATGAAGAATGAGAATCTAATCAGTCATAATACTTAGTCCTGCCTTGAGTGCAGGAGACTGGACTAAATGACCTGTCAAGGTCCCTTCCAGTTCTGATTCTATTATTGTCTTAGATTTTGTTGATTTCTCCAAAGGTAAACTCCTAGTTATTCCCTTAGATTTTTTTGATTAGACTGTCGATGGGTGAAGGAAGATTGTGAGGTTGCTATCCCAGTTTACCTGAACGCAACATACAAACTGCAAGTGAAACTGAAAACTAACTAATTTCTAACTACAAATGAAGTTTTGCTATGAGATGCAAGCTTATTTGTGGAGGTACAAAACCTCAAATAATCACTGGGCATAAAATCACATTGTGTTTCCAGCATGAGAGTATAACTTGCAAACAGGGCCGGCACCAGCGCAGCAAGCAGGTGCTTGGGGCGGCATGTCCGGCTCTTCGGCGGCAATTCGGTGGCAGGCCCCTCAGTCCCTCTCGGAGGGAAGGACCGGGCATCGAATTGCCGCCGAAGAACGAAGCAGTGACAGTAGAGCTGCTGCTGATCGCGGCTTTTTTTTTTTCTTTCCGCTACTCTGTGCGACAAAAACGCTGGAGCCGGCCCTGCTTGCAAATCAGGATTGAATTACAAGATACAGACATGGCAGTTCTGTCTTTCCCCTTCCTTGTGGAGAATCTGTCATACTTTGGCTTTCTTTTTTAATAACCCCTTTCTTCCTTCCATCCCCAGCACTTCCTTCTACATTTTCTGTGTTTCTTTTGTATGTCAGTTACTAGAGTATGCTTTTGTAATGGAGCAGAGCATCTGGAAGAATTTTATTACTACATCCAGAGCCATTCTATTCCTTCCCTAGCTTTCGAGCCATTAACTACAAGATGCATTGCTAGAGGAACTGTCCATTCAGCACCCCTGGGATCAGAATCATACCTTTTCACTGGAGTGTGTATGTTGATATCAAATCTGGATGTAAAGATTTTGCTATGTCTCAAGGTTCTTTAACCAATTAACATCAGGCCAGCACTAATTCATCACTTTTCTGCACTCCTTTCCTCTATCTTTTTAGCTTATTAGCTAAAGTACTTATGGAAAAATCCTATGATCAACAGCCTCTCTAAAGCATTTTCAGAGGGTAGATTGTTGGGTCCATAAAGCTTGTTTTATAGTTGTGTATCTGCACATAAAGTACATTTTAACTTCCCTTTCTCTCTCTAGAGGCAGGGTATAGGGAAATAGTGCAACAGCTGGAATTCATTTGAAAGATTCAAAAAGTAGAAGAGGGGCACTGTTTCCTGTTTTGAATCTTCTAACAAGAGGTACCAGGGCTGGTACTTCACTGGAGGGCCTCATCATAACTGTAATAATGCCTCTTGGATGCTTTCAGTGCCAAAATAATTGGGCTCATGTCAGTTATTGCTCTTGTCTTAGAAAGGCTTGATTTAAAATATCACTAATATTTTTGGTCAGAAACTGGTACTGTGACTTCTGCAGTCATGTAGATGACCAATATTAGAACACCAAAGTGCCATTACTGTAGGAGTGACACTGTGTCCATGAGTAGGAGAAAGAGGCTGCTTTCCAGCTCTGTGTGACGCTGTGCAGTCTATATGGTTTTATAAAAACTTGATAATAAGTCAATATAATGTAACTGGGATAGTTTTAGAGAAAATATGGTAATAAGTGAGTATAACGTAACTGGGATATGCTTCATGCAAAAGGTCTCTTGTTAGGTATCATTACAAAGCTTATAATCTACTGAGTATGATCATCTGATTTGTATAAATGTACCACTCTTGTATCTAAAACTAGAAATATAAAATGTAACTCTTAGGGCCTATTATAATTATGTAAAGTGTGGGCCATTAATGATGGTTTGGAATCTTGATGACTCCCATTAACCAGGACCATTGTCTGCAGATGGCTGTGTTTACCTGTTAGTCTTCCTGTATATGTGTGTGCTGGCAAGTGGGCAATGAAGTCTTGCAGTGACATGTGATCATGTCACCTGAACTGGAATCCATCTTTAACCTGGCGCTTTTCCAGTGAGGGGGGGTGGAAACCCAGAGGGACAAAGGGTTCCCGCCTTATGCAAAAGATATGTAAAGGGGTGGAAGAGAACAGAGAGAGGGAGGGAGCCATCATGAAGAATCCCCTAGCTATCACCTGAGCTGCAACAAGAGCTGTACCAGGGGAAAGAATTGTGCCCAGGCCTGGAAGGTGTCCAGTCTGAGAAAAAACTTACTGAAGCATCTCTGAGGGTGAGATTATCTGTATTCAGTTTGATTAGGCATAGATTTGCGCATTTTATTTTATTTTGCTTGGTGACTTACTTTGTTCTGTCTGTTACTACTTGGAACCACTTAAATCCTACTGTCTGTATTTAATAAAATCACTTTTTATTTAGTAATTTACTCAGAGTATGTATTAATACCTGGGGGAGCAAACAACTGTGCATATCTCTCTATCAGTGTTATAGAGGGCGAACAATTTATGAGTTTGCCCTGCATAAGCTTTATGCAGGGTAAAACGGATTTATTTGGGTTTAGACCCCATTGGGAGTTGGGCATCTGAGTGCTAAAGACAAGCACACTACTGTGAGCTGTTTTCAGGTAAACTTGCAGCTTTGGGACAAGTGATTCAGACCCTGGGTCTGTGTTAGAGCAGACTGGAGTGTCTGGCTCAGCAAGACAGGGTGCTGGAGTCCTGAGCTGGCAGGGAAAACAGAAGCAGGGGTAGTCTTTGCACATCGGGTGGCAGCTCCCAAGGGGGTTTCTGTGATCCAACCCGTCACACTCTGTTCAACAGGGTGATTACATGAAGACAAAATAGATCTTAGACAAGTGTAACCTGGGCTCCCCTGTTTTAGGCGTGGTTTTTTTGGTCTCTTGTATTGGAAGAGTCACAGGAGTCAAGAAAGCTGTATCGGGTGAAAACTCCTGGTGCTGCAGAAAGGCAGTGTAACGCTAGATAAAATAGTTGAGGTGTTGAAGGTGAGGATTCTCTTGTGCTGGTACTATTGTGTGAGGAAGCTTTATAGCTAAGCTTGGCAGAGTTTGATTTTTATTAACAATTTTAAAGCATATTGATGTTTTAAAGCATTTTTTTCAGTTTAAATTTTCAGTTGTGGGAAATTTGGGAGTGGGTCAGACAATTATTTAATGAAATGTTGAGATTCAAAAAGTTAAAGTTTTATGTTTGTTAAAACACAAATTATCAACAGCACATGAAAATATACAAAGCAAATACCCTTAAATCAGTCTCTAAATACTCAAGCAGCATTTTTCTTACTTTACCCATCTGTAAAGTTTGAGTATTATTGATGGAATTATTTTATTGTGGGTTTGTGGGTCTTTGGTGAAATTGCTGTTTACTAACATGTGCTGATTAAAAATCTAATCCTTCCAAGCCTAATTATAGCATCTCTCTGTCTTGCTTGTGTCTAATCCATGTTTCCTTGATCTTGGTCAGAAACAAGTCAACCAAAATTACAAACAAACTTAATTTTGTGCAATCACCAGTCTGAGCCAGTATATACAATTTAAGGTTCAGTTGTGGTGTGTGTGTGTGTGTGTGTGTGTTTAAATAAATCTTTAAAATGATGACCCTCTGGTTTTCCATATTAAATATTTCCATATCAAAGTCACATTATGTGATGGTCCAAAGATGACTCTTCTTATTATCAGTTCTGCAAACTCAGTGTGCAGTCTGAAAATCCCACTGTGCTGTCTCTCAAATAATGTCAGTGACATCAGAACTCTGCTGATAATTCTGTTGACCTGTTGGTGAGAGAGCCCTGCAGCCTATACAGCCAAACGGGCGCAAACTAGATTTTAACAGGAGTGAAAACATGTTTGTAGCAGTTGAATAAGCATAGACACAGAAGGAGCAAATGCAAAAAAATGCAATTTTTGTTTGCTTTTGACTAGGTCTATAGCAGTGGCTACTATGTGAATAGAGTGTAATCCTGACACATCATGTGATGGGGTCAGGAAATAAAAAAATAGTTTAAAAGCATTTATTTATGTCAAACTGTGGATGTTTTAATAAAGGTGTATCACAAACTAAATGCACTGCCTGAAGATAAAGTTCAATGAACTCATGTGCAGATGGAGAACATTTTCTACTCCTGAGGGCATTCTGTGCCAAAAAAAATAAAAATTCTGCACACAATGTCTTAAAATTCTGCAAAATTTTGTAATTTTTTTTTGTCAAATAAATGTGGAGGCTCCAGCATGGCATTGGGGAGCACAGGCCACTGGCTGCACAGAGGTGGGAGACCACTCTGCAAATCCTGCCCCGGAACATGGACTCAGCAGTGAGGCTGCACCCAACCCTGACACAGCTCAAGTACCGGATCTGCCCCAGAAACACCCCAAGGCCCTGCCCCTCCATGCCAGGTGCACCAGGTGTGGGCAGGCAGGATCCAAGCATGGAGGGGCTTAGTGTGTGGGGGATCCAGGTGTGGGTTGAGAAGGTTCTGTGTGGGGCAAGCTGGGTGTGGCTGGCTTAGTGGGGGATCCAGGTGCAGGGGGGATCTGGATGCACAGGGGCTTGTTGCGGGGGGTTCTGGGTGCAACAGTAATGGGACTCAGCGGGGGGGGGGTCTGGGTGTGGGGAGGGGGGGATAGAGCTCGGCAGGGGGGTCTGGGTATGGAGGGGTCCAGATGCTTGGGGAGTGGGGCTTGGTGGGGATCTGGTTGTGGGTGGCTCGTTGGGCTGGTCCAGGTGCAGAGGGAGTGGGGTTCATTGGGGGTTGGGGTGCAGGAGGGAGGGGTGAGGCTAGGAGGGAGGGTCTGGGTATGATGGGGGTCTGGATGCACGGGGATTGGACGGATGGGGGAGCAGCTCCCCATACAGTGATCCTTCCCCCTGCAGCTGAGGAAGTGATGGGTGCAGTTTGCAGAGCTTCCTGCAGCCTGGGGAGAAATCTTGGGGTGGGTCTGACCCAGACCAGATGCTGTGCAGGAGAAGAGGAAGTCCTGTCTTCCCCAGCCCAGCCGGGACTAGCAGCTGAGCCTGGCACAGGGTAGGAGCCACCACTTGGGTCTTCCCCAGTCCTGCCCCCTTTCCTACAGTGACTTACCTCTCTGCTGGCTGCCCTGGGCACCCAAAACATACTGCTGGGGAAGGTCGCATGACTGCTCTTGTGGCTTCCCTTTGCTTTCCCATCAGAAAGTCATTTTTTTGCGGGGAAGTAAAGAAGTCTGCAGGGGGATATAAATTCTGTGTATGCACAGCAGTGCCAAATTCCCCCAAGAGTAATTTTCATGATGGGTTTTACAAAGTATTTATAAAAATTTGCCAACCCCCAGAAGATCCCTCAGATCACAGGAGGGAGGCACAGAGTTATCTTTTTCATTCCTACTGTTTAAGGGTGAGTCTAATAGAAGCCATAAGTGAACTACTTACTAGAGGTTGACTTATTTTGTAAGGATGGCATTGGGCATCACAGACTTTTCCATGTATGAACTAGTGGTTGGATAATTCTTAAGAACAGTCTAACATTTATTTTTCTCTCTCCCTAGTACTGGAGATTGACTTCTCAGAGCTGGCTCTGGAGGAAATCATTGGCATAGGAGGCTTTGGAAAAGTCTATCGAGCTGTTTGGGAAGGAGATGAGGTTGCTGTCAAGGCAGCTCGTTATGACCCTGATGAGGACATCAGCCAGACCATTGAGAATGTCCGCCAAGAGGCCAAGCTCTTTGCTATGTTAAAGCATCCCAACATCATTGCCCTCAGGGGAGTGTGTCTGAAGGAACCTACCCTCTGCCTGATCATGGAGTTTGCCCGTGGTGGGTCGCTAAATAGGGTGCTGTCAGGTAAAAGGATCGCCCCAGACATACTAGTGAACTGGGCAGTCCAGATTGCCAGGGGAATGAATTACCTGCATGACGAAGCGATTGTTCCTATTATCCACCGTGACCTCAAGTCCAGCAACAGTAAGTACTATGCCTTGTGTAGCCAGGGTTGGGATTGGGTTTTGAAAGGAAGTGGTAAGGAAGGAGGAATATTGCTAATTTAAATCCTGTGTTGTGAACCACTGTATCTTGTAGAGCAATCTGTTGGGGATAAGAAAACTGAGTGTTGCAAGGAAGCTAAGTTCTCAGCAACATGGTGGTAAGCATCTTATAAACAAAGACTTAGAGCAAGTGTTAATTTCACAGTGTCAGTCGTGTGTACTTTGCAGAGGTAACCAAGTTGCTTGCATGCACTAAAGGACAATATTTCCCCAACAGGAAACATATTTGTACAGTGAGCTAATATACATACTTGCTTACAAACAACTAATACTCCTGAGATCTCAAAAGAAGTTGAATTGAGTCACTTCAGCATATATCAGTATGTAGGAAAGTACCACTGAACTTAAAATGCAAATTTGCATTATCCTTCAGTAGAATAATGAGACTAGGTAAACCTGAGGTAAATGTAAGTAATACTTAATATTAGGAACGTAAGAATTGCCCTACTGGATCAGGCCAGTGGTCCAGTTGTGGTTGAGTATGCTGTTTCTAACAGTGGCCAGCACCAGATGCTGAAGACGAAAAAAATACAAGAAACCTCACATTTGGCAGGTGTGGAATGATCTACTCTCAACCTAATCCCTTATAATTAGAGATTTAGATTAAGATCTGAAGCATAATGTTGCTTTCAAATTTGTTAGCATTAACTGTTAACTTTAGATAGCCTCATCCCTGTAAATGTCCAATCCCTTTTTGAGTCTTAAGTTTTTAGCCTCAGGGAAATTCTGTGACTGCGAGTTTCGTAGTTGAATTATGAGTTGTATGGAAAAAGTGTTTAGTCTTTGTTACATTTTTAATTAATTGAATGTCCTTCTGGTCTTGTGTTTCAAGACAAGGAGCACAGAAGCTCTCAACCAACTTTCTCTGTAACATACTGCTGTCATTGTTCCTTTTATTCATCTCTTTTCTAAAGTAAATAATCCCAATTTTTAAATTTTTCCCAGAATCCTAAAAATTTTCATTTCCCTTCTGTGTTGTGGATGTGTTAAAGGCATGTTAGTAAATGCTTTGAAGTGAAGAGTTGACCAGAGTAGGTCCTAGCTCTGATGCTGACCTATTCTTGAATTTTTGTGCCTATTTTCTGCATCTGTAAGAAAACACTTATTTGCCTATTTCATAAGGAGGCTGTGAGACTTCATTCATTAACACTTACAGAACATTTTGAATTATTCAGTGAAAGGTACCATAAAGCATAAAACTCATTTTTAAAACTCCTTTTGTCTGCATACACCTCTACCTTGATATAACGCTGTCCTCGGGAGCCAAAAAATCTTACCGCGTTATAGGTGAAACCGCGTTATCTTGAACTTGCTTTGATCCACCGGAGTGCGCAGCGCCCCCCCCCCCCCCCCCCCCCCCCGCGGAGCACCACTTTACCGCATTATATCCGAATTCGTGTTATATCGGGTCGCGTTATATCGAGGTAGCGGTGTATTTCGTTTTGAATTTGTTGAGTCTAAAAATTTAGAGTATTGCAAGCTGCATGATAAGTTAAGTTCCTCAGCCAAGCACGGAGTTCTGGTTGGGATAGAGAAGCAAAATGTTATAGCTTATCTGTACCGTCCGTGCTGTGAAGAGCAACAGTAAATGTTGGCAAAGTAAATTAGTGGCGCTTGCTCCACTGCAGATGGAGTCAGACTGAGACGCTAGATAACTTTTCAAAAATCCCACCCAACCCGATTTGGGAAGAAACAATACATTAAGTATTAGGGGAAGGGGGGGAAATGAGTGAGTTCCTGGATGAGGTTAAGGCAAAGTGAATATGAAAATTCTTTTTCAAGTCCAGAGGCCTCTCTTGTTGAGAGGGGAAAGGCTGAGAATTTATTGCACCACATGCTGTGCCACTTAAGCCTGCCCAGCAGCACTCCATCAAGGACTGTGAGTTAAAGATGCTATCAGAAAAAAAATACAGGAACATTGGAAGGGGGAAAGTTTCTGCTCTAACCCAGCAAGATCTGCAGAAAGCAGCAGGATAGTAAACAAACTAAATGCCAAGGTTGGTAGCTGAGGAAGGGGTGTTAGATTATCTATAATAAGATTCCATTATTTTATCTCCCACATTTTGCAAATATGGAAACAATCTAATTGGTACTACAACTATGGACTCAGCGTAGTACAGATGCTGTTCAGAGATGCTTGATTGTTTAGTTTTTTTAAAGTTTATCTATCAAACTATATAATTGCAATGAGTGACCTTGTTTTTATTGTCTTATGTACACTCTCTTCTGGCTGTATCTATGAAATACTTAAATTCCCAGATTATATTGGCATTGAGGACACAAATCAAGTTGGAAACTTTATTTTCCTGTGATGCATGGTGTATGACCTTCGGATCCTCAGAGCTTACTAAGAGTTCGTGTTTGAATGTATACTCTGTAGATATTAACAAACAAGTTTGGAAAAAAATTATGGAATATTTTTGAGGGACTGAATGGTTTAATTGGCAGGCACTGGAGAAGCTGTGTTTTTTAGAGTAGAATCCTATTTCTATATCTTCCAAAGGTTTTGAAAATAATGGGCTTGGACTTCTTCTTTGGGAAGATGTCACAGGTTGGTTGACCCTCTAAGGAGTATTGGGCCCACCCTTGCCTGTGACAGATCAGCTACCCTCCTAGCTGATTCTGATAGGGCCATCTGATAATTAGCCTAACTAAGAAGGGGTCATGGGCTGCCTACAAAAGAGCTGTAAGAGCTCAGTTGGGAAAGGAAACTGCAGAAGGGCAGTTGGCTCCTATGGTAGCTCCTGTAGAAGGGTAACTCCCAGATAGATAGATCGTCTGGAGGAGAATTGAGCAGGGTTGCAGGAGGGAGGCTGGCTCCTGTGATTGGTCCTGGAAGAAGGGAAACTGCTAGAGGGGGAAAGCCTTGAGTCAGCACTCTGTAAGAGAGGAGGAAAGAATTGAGAGCTCAGGAGGGATAGAAAATGCTTTTGTTTATGTTGTATTTGGACTGTTGTCAAATTTGTTTCTGGTGCCTTGCTGGATGATACTGAGAGACACTTCTACCTGGGAGAGTTTCCTGCGGGGGAGACTGAGGCAGAGTGAATAGTGCCACAGTGGGTCACAAGGAGTAACTGTAGAGGGGAAATCCTGCCACAGTTTGGTGGAAACTGGGCAGTGATCTAGCCCCTGTGGAAGGGAGCAAAGTAGGACAGCAACACTGTCACAGGAGATCATTCCATCTTGTAGGGGGGAACACAGCTGAATTGTCCCTTTTAAAGGTTCCATGATTTCTGTTCTTGAAGATATTGGTAGTTGAGATGCAGCCTACAAAATAGATTCTATACTTTCTTTCCTTAAATGAAAAGGGAAGCGAGTAAGGGTGCCTGTAGCTCCTTGTACATCTTAGCTCAGGCATCTCTCCCACTTTTTTTTTCCTCTTTCCATCCTCTTATCACTTCCTGAAACGTGATGCCCATGGAGATGCATGTGGTGAGGAATAAGAAGAACAGTGTCTTAAAGCTTTTAGGTTTGGGGTAATTATCTAAACCTGGAGCAGAAAATCTCCATCCTTGGGAGCTCTGAGGATCTGAGATGAGTGGTTTGGTTGCTTTGCGGAGAGTGTCAGAAAACAAATGTAATCCTTAAAGATAGCTGACCCTGCACCCATGACTTTTGAGAGGTGTGTGCTGTACTTTATGGTGCATAATGATATTTTGCTGCCAAGTGACTTCCAATTGTACTGCAATGGACAGACTTGGAATCTGTTAGGCAAGCTTTCTAATGGTTCCTTCAATGGGATGTATAATCCCAATTATGTGACTGGGTAAGTACAGCAGCTGTTTTGGGATTTATCCCCCGCACAATGCCTTTATTTATTTATTTTTAAAGGAGAAAAGTGGAGAAAGGTGTGTGTGTGTGTGTGTGTTTTTCCCCCCCCCCCCCCGGTATGTGATTAATATGGTCCCTTTGTATTGCATAGTGTTTGAGAGGCTCAGAATTTATCCAGCCTAAGGAATTAAACAAATTAGCCAAGACTTTCAGATACTGAGCAGTCACCATCTCTTATTTCTACCCCTTTTGTGTTTCTAGTGGAATAAAGAAATTAACATGGCTGCTCTTGTTTACTTCTCTACTTGTGCATCAGCCTTAGAGATGGCAGCACAGGAATAATGCGAGTTAACTGATGCTGCAGGGAGCCAGCCAGCAAGTGATACTTGCACTCTCTTGGTTGGTTCAGTAAAACATGATTATTTTTGCAATATATTGTGGGATTACTTTTCAGATATTACTAATCCAAGATCTTAAAAGCACTTTACAAAAGTCAGTCTCTATTTTACAAAAAGTGAAACTGAAGTGCAGGGTGATTAAGTGACATGGTCAAGGTGATGTTGTGTGGTAAGGGCAGAGCTGAGAATAATACCCAGGAGTTCTGACTCCAATCTTGTGTCTTGAATCTAAAAGATAATGCTCTCTAAGTGAGCAATTTTTGGTGTATTGTGTAGAGTCTGAAATATCCATATTGATACTTCAAAGCTGCCGCTTTCTAATGACTTCCCATCATTGCCATGCTTTTGGCTCCCCATTCTATAAAACTGTGAAACACAGCTCCTTTCCAAAAACTCCCAAATACAACTAACTTCAGCATGAATCTGAACAGCTGACCCAGCAATTCATAATATTAATTGATTTAAAAAAAATAGGTGCAGAGCATTTAACCTTTACTTCCAGGTAAGTATCTTAAATCCAGCTCAAGGGTAATAGTGACTGAAAATTGTTACTATTTCATAGTTCTCTATGAAATGGTGGCCTCAATTAATTTTCTAGGTATAGCATAGCCCAGTTACAACTGGCCCTCTTCCTGACAGTCTCATCAGAGGGGAAAAACTGAATGGACATCAAACCACTGCCTTTCTCTCCCCTCTTCCCGCCCCCAACCGCCACAATCCCAGAGTTGGATCCATTCAGGGCAAGATTATG